GGCTAGATGATGAGGGGAAGGAGGAAGAGGAGGAGGAGGAGGAGGAGGAGGAGGAGGAAGGGATGGTTGTGGAAGAGGAAGGGGAGTGATGGCTCTGCTGGATAAGGTCTGGAAGGTGGCGTATGCGGCCGGCAAAGCCGTTTTTCTCCGGCAAGCCGTGGTTGGGGGGTTGGGGCTGGCCGTGGCCGTGACCAGAGCCAGCCGAGGAAGAGGAGGAGGAGGAGGATGAGAGATTGACCAACCGCTTTATGTCAACGGTGCTCTGGAAGCAAGAACAGGCACACTTGGGCTCGAGCAAGCAGGTGGAGGGAGGAGATGTATGTTTGGCTGCTAGTCTGCTGCTTCGTGTCAAGATCCTCTTATCCCAACATCATACACAACATACTCATCTTCGGAGACCATGTCACGTTAAATGTAATCTCTAACTATCTGATGTATTAGGTTACCCATCTGTAAATGTGTAACATGAAGCAGCAAGTCTATAATGACAAAAATAACATAAAAAATGCTTGGTGATATACAGGAAGACAGAAGAATGGTGGAGAATGAGCGGGTAAACACTGATGATGGGTAAAAAACATTCAACTATATGCAAGCAGAATACGCCTTTAACTAGAAAAGAACTTGTCTTTATGTTAAATTAGGGTGTTGGCAATCTCATTAAGTTCAATTCCAGTCTCTTACCTGTCTGATGACCAGCGTGCCATCCTTGGAGGGCGTGATGGCTTGGTCGCTCTCCGAGTCCTCAACCAGCATGGTCTTGGCGGACTCCGTCTCCCCGTTACTCAGCCTCCTGTAGAAGCCATGGGAATATCTGATGTCCGTAATCAGACCAGTGTTAACAGTCATGCAGAAAAGCCATGCAACACTGATGGGTGTGGCAGTGCACAGTATCTTATCATGTTAGGAATTTGAATATGAAATCAAAGAGAAGTGACTAAATCTTTTTTTTTGCAAAGAAACATGAATGCAACAGACAGTGGGCCAACACAGAAGCTACATCGTCTCAGTTCTACCTACCCAGCCCTGGAGTCTTCAGCTCCTGAGGTGGACTCCTCTCCTGCCTCCTGGTCCACCTCCTCGTCGTCTTCCTCGTCAGTGGTGCCCGAATCCTCGCTTGAGGAGGAGTAGTCGGTGACCTTGTGGGGAGGCCTCACATCGTCTACCGCACGCAGCTCCTTGGCCAGAGCAGTCAGGTCCTAAGAGGAACAGGAAGATAGTCTTAGAAAGACTCAAGTCCAATATTTTGGCAAAACCCAGGCTGTCTAGAAACCTAGAAGCCTTATTATTGCTGTCACTATTACTACCAATCCTAAATGGCGTGTTAGCAAATTAATCGCCACAAATAAATATACTTTAATTGTCAAAGAAATTAACTTGAGTGAGTAACTGCATAACAGGCTCTTGTTTTCTAGACAACCTGAAAGGAGCCTTGAAGTCATCCCTCCTCGCTTCATATGAACTGTTTTCTGTTCAGCCTCATATCTCTGGGTACGTCAGTTTAAAACCTTGTTAGACCTGTGCTAAGATCCCAGTTCCTCTAAGTTCTGGGATGCGGTGAGTTAGGTGGTGTATTGCTAGGAAAATTATATTATGTTGTACCCTGTGGAGTCCATGCCTTGTAACCACGTAGCCCTGTGCTTGTTTTTCCCTTGCAGATTTCTAATAATGAACTCTTGTAAGGTCAGTGACAAGCAGGAAAGGGAGGAGGGATCCTTCCCCGACATGCTCAACAAAGAAAACGGGCCACAGTTTATCCAACAACAAAGCCAGGTGAGATTAGGAGCAACTCTTGCAAGTACAAGGAAACAGGAGGTGTGTGTTTGCATTCAAATGTGGTCGCATTCAAATCCAGGCACAGGAAGCTGCAGCAGAGGGTTAACCCTGTTGGTGCCGTGCGGAAGGAAAGATGCCAGCAGAAGGCGATCACATTACAGGCAGAAAGGAGAGCAACCAAAGACAGAACTAAAAAGAGCGGTTGCATTAATCCTCACAAAGGGGAAACAGTCCTTTTATCACAGACCTTTATCAGATGATGCAATGAATGGGGCAATGGTGCAAGCATAGCATAGGTGTGATTATGTAATCTCATTTAATAGGCTTACCGCATCACCCTAAGAGGTTCCCCCAACAATCACCAACCATTGGGTTCATGAGAAGTTGCACACACCAGGTGGTTGAATAATTAGAGTAGTAGAAAATAGAGAAAGTGGAAAAAAAGAAAACAGTTTTTCACCTATTCAGCATCAAACAAGTTTAACCAGCACTTTAGTAACAGTGAACTTACAGCTGGTCGAGTAGGCCTAGCGAGGTTCTTTTCATCTTGTTTTTTGGGTACATTTTCAGGCCGCTGGAGAGGCGACCCTTCAGATTTGGAGGAAGCTTTGAGGGAACAAAAGGAAGTAGCGTTAGTGAGGGGCAACAGAGAGCTGGCTCTGAAACGATCTCCAATTGGCTGTATAAAAACGTGCTAGAGCGTGAGCAGTAGTATTGATAATGCACTAATAAGCTGTCTGTAGATTTAGTGAAGTGTGGCCGAGTACAGTACCGGGGGACTCACAGCGTGGCCTGAAGCGGTCACCAGGACTGGCCTGGGAGCCGGAGTTGGACGAGCCAGATGAGCTGCCGCTGCCGGGCCGAGGCTGCAGCTTCTCCACTCGGTCCCACAGAGGGCGCTGCTCCACGTTACTGCCGCAGAGAACACCACAACATTAACAAGGACAGCTGAAACAAATGGTGATCCTTCGTAGTACACTGATGTGATGTATTTTGTGGTTTTCTTTCTATTCTTTTTGATTTGTGTTTTATTTAACTGAATGTAAGTACGTTTTTGTGCTTCCGATCACACTAGTCCACAGCAAACTTTCTTGGTACTACTTACGACACCACACAAGTGACAAAAACTGGGTTAAGAGATTGAGTCACATATTTATAAAAAGGAACCAAGTGATAAGCATGTCTTCAAAAGATTCAGAACTTCTTTGTTTTTAATCCTGCCAACTTGCATTATCACTGGCAACAGTAGTTATGTTCCTCTAATACACACTTTGGATTGTGTAGTTATTTTCAAACTTGTGGGGCAGTTGCACACATTTAAACAAAAAAAAACTTACCCGCCAGCGCTCCTCTGTCCGCCCTGGTTGCCGGGCTGCGATGGCAAAGGGGACTCTCTGCGCGACAGTACTGGAGACCTGGATGTTGTCCTCACTGGTACCTGGAGGAAGGTACGTGTGTTTGATGAAACCAACAAATTAATATGTTCTCAAATCAATAATCTACCTAATAGAAAAAACCAGTGTCAGCAAACATGTATTAAGATCCACAGCTGCAGCAACACAGAACGCTCTGCTGCCCCATTAAGCTGAAGTTTCCAGGTGTCACTGGAGTGTCAGACACTATCACTATCACATATTGCTGTCACAATATCAGATTTTCAATGAAGGATTAATGATGGCAAAAGAATTCACATAACAATAATAATGCATTCTCTGTAGAAAATTTGAAAGATATATAAATCAGTAATATTCATCTTTAACTTTTATTGTGCATTTTGTATTTTTTTAATCTTTAATGTAACACCAGCAACAAGCATTAAGGTGCATTACTAACACCTACTATGCTGGGTGGAGCGAGAACGGGGAAAAAAAATGGGGATTACAGATTACAGTTTACTTAAAGAGAATTTAAACTTCCAAAGATAAGAGTTTAATGTAAAACACGTTGAACCCAATACCTGCCGTAGAGATACTCTATTTTACCGAAAATAATTCTGGCCTAGGTATGGACACAGGTAGAACATCTTTCAAGTGATGTATCAAAACTCAACAGTAACCCAAAACAACTGAGCACTCAGAGAAAGTGGGACTTCCCAGTGACAGCACCCCCACCACATACTGAGAGTAAATGTGTTGTTTATCACGTTAAATCATCAAAGAGTTTTGAATACGGAAAGTTCAAAACCTTTTCATGTCATTTGTAGGCGTATAAATGTCAAATTTCCTAGTTTAGTGTTTAGTTTAGAGAAATGAACATAGCGAGGCAGACACAAACAGACGGGTTGTGGTTGAGCAGCATGATAAGTGAAGTGATTCGCATGAGAGGAAGTGAATGAGGGAGAGG